ATTCATTCATTCATTCATTCCACAAGTACTTATCAAGGCCTTCCTGTGTGTTTGATGTTAGGATAATACTGTAATAACTGAAAGAAGGAATCCTGTACCAGGATAGAAATTCCTAAAGAATCCGCAGTTAGGTAAGAAAAATGGAGCATTCCACCTGTATGGGGAATATAGAGTAGGAGAACCAAGAAAAAGAAAGTATGCCCTGCTTCCGACAAACTGATGAGAGATTAGGCAACGTCTGAAAATGGTTTTACCAACAGTCAGCAGGCCACTGGGCCGAGGGAAAAGAATGGCTTCCTGAGAGAGTGGGATCTGAGTTCATGCAGATCTTTCTCTATGGCGTCTCTCCGAGAGTAAATGGCATATTGTGCTTACTGGGATTTCCAAGTCTCACGTACTTAGAAGGGAAAATAGCCTGAGATGAGCAGCTGCTTCAGGAATGTGCATGATCTCAGAGGAGGACCATCCACCGGGGAGGTCACGGCCACTCCTCCCACCCTTCCAGAAGGCCCACCAGGTATGTTCTCCTGTTGATGCTCAGCCAGGGTCATCAGGTAAATAGCTCCCTGATGACTGGAAGCGCCCTATGCTGCTGCCTGATACTAACACGTCTATCACTCAGAAAGGATTTGGGAAAGCAGGACAATAGATCATGCAGGAGCTTTGGAGTCAAGCAAACCTGGGTCCAAAACAAAACTCCAGTGACCTTGAATGATTGGCTTACACTCACTGGGTCTCCATTTCTCTTCCAGAAACAAGAGACAGCATGGCCTGTCTCCAGTGCTTGCTGTGGTGAAGAAATGACTAAGCCAAGCATAGTGTGTGGTTGTAACGGGATCTGGGTTAATGTTACTTTCCTGTCTCCTCTTGGGCCCAGATCTAAATGAGGAAGCAACCCAGTGGTGCCAGCGAGAACCAGACCACCTGGCTGATCCTAGTGGGCTTCGGGGAGCTGCAACGCCTGCGCTTCCTCCCTTTCACCCTCTTTTTAGCTATTTATGTGATGACCGTGGGGGGCAATGCCCTTATCGTGCTGGCTGTGGCCTCCAGTCGGACTCTCCACACACCCATGTACTTCTTCCTCTGCCACTTCTCCCTGCTGGAGATCGGCTATACCTCCAACATCGTGCCTCAGCTGTTGCGGAGCTTCCTGAAAGGGAGGGAAGCCATCTCGCTGGCCTGCTGTCTGCTTCAGTTCTACATGTTTGCCTCACTGGCTGCGGCTGAGTGCCTCCTGCTCTCGGCCATGTCCTACGACCGTTACTTGGCCATCTGCCGCCCACTGCACTACCCGGCCCTGATGAGCACCTGGTGGTGTGGCTGCCTGGCTGCTGGAGCCTGGTTCAGCGGCTTCTCCTTTTCCGCCCTCACTCTGGCCCTGGCGGCCCCTCTGCCCCTCTGCCCTGGCCGCAGGGAGATCGACCACTACTTCTGTGACTTTGCTCCTGTTGTAGGGCTGTTCTGTGGTGATAGAGGGGTCATGTGGGGAGCTGGAGTGAGCATTTCAGGCTTCCTGACACTGGCCCCTTTCCTGTTGATTGTGACCTCCTACGCCTTCATCCTGAGGACTGTGCTGCGAATACCATCAGGCCGTGGGAGGCACAAAGCCTTCTCCACCTGTTCCTCCCACCTCAGCGTGGTTGGGGTGTTTTATGGCACCCTCATCGTGGTCTATGTAGCACCCACAGACCACATGGCCCCCTTACTTCGAAAGGCTTTCTCTGTCCTCTACACTGTGTTCACCCCTATGGCCAACCCCATCATCTACAGCCTCAAGAACCAAGAGGTCAAGGGGGCCCTTCATAGGCTCTGGGGACAGCTCACCCGAGGACAGCTATCGACTTCTTCCTGGATTCTAGCTTAGCCGCATCCTCAAAGTCTACAGGACTAAAGATCACTGTGATGAAAATATGGAGACTTGAGATTGAAAATCGTTGTC